AAGGATGTGCAACTATGACATACAACTATCTACTGGGGCTTTGGGGGAAAAAATAAATAAAATTTAAAAAAAAAAAAGAAAAAAGCATGAACTTTTAAAAAAAAAAAGAGAATGGCGTTAGGTTCAGTCAAGAATCACCAACGTGTGCTAAATCTAAGAGGTAAATTATTTTTTAATTGAGATATAACGCATATATTGTGAAATGATCACAGTAAGTCTAGTTAACATCTTCACCACACATAGTTACAAACTTTTTTCTTGTGATGAGAACTTTCAAGATCTACTCTCTGAGCAACTTTCAAACATACAATACAGTGTTATTACCTATATTCACCATGCTGTACATTACATCTCTAGGACTCATTTATTTTATAACTGGAAGTTTGTACCTTTTGACCCCTTCAGCCATTTCACCCACCCCCTAACCCTCCTCTCTGGCAACCACCAATCTGTTCTGCTGTATCTAGGAGCTCAGGGGTTTTTTGGTTTGTTTTGTTTTGAGATTCCATATATAAGCGAGATCATAAGGTATTTGTCTTTCTCTGTCAGACTTATTTCACTTAGCATAATGCCCTCAAGGTCCATCAATGTTGTTGCAAATGGCAGGATTTCCTTCTTTTTTATGGCTGAGTAACATTACACTGTATCTATATACCATATTTTTTTTATCCATTCATCTGTTGATGGACACTTAGGTTGCTTCTATATCTTGGCTATTGTAAATAATCCTGCTACGAACGTGGGGGTACAGATATCTTTTTGAGTTAGTGTCTTTGTTTCCTTCAGTTAAAAACCCGGAAGTGGAATTGCTGGATCATACGGTAGCTCTATTTTTATTTTTTTGAGGAACCGCCATACTGTTTTCTATAGTGGCTGCACCAAGGGTTCTCTTTTCTCCACATCGTTGCCAACACTTGCTATTTCTTGTCTTTTTGATAATAGTCATTCTGACAGGTGTGAGGTGATATCTCATTGTGGTTTTGATTTGCATTTCTCTGATCATTAGTGATATTCAACAACTTTTTACATACTTGTTGGCCATCTAGGAGGTAAATTTTGATGAGGACCATGGTCTTAAAATGTCTCCTTAGATTGCTTATTAGCAGCAAGGAAAAAATATCAACACGTTGACTGGTGACCAAAATTAATATCACCAATAAGAGGCAGATGGACATTTCATGCCTCCTTATGATTCCCTGAAAAGGACATACACCACTTAGGTAGTAAATACCAGGCTAGGAATACATAATATAATCATAAGAAAACATAAACTCCAAACAAGAAACATTCTATTTTTAAAAAGGAACAGTATTGTTTAAAAAATGTTAATGTCATAAAAGACAAAGAAAGGCTGTGGAAATGTTCCAGATTAAAGGAGGCTAAGGAAAACTAAATGCGATATACGATGCTAGATTAGATCCTTTTTTCCCAGATGGGGAAAAAAATGCCATAAAGGACATTATTGGGTTATTTGACAAAACTGCAAACCAGATGGTAAATTAAAGTATTGTAACAATGTCAAATTTACTCAAATTGATAACTGCACCTTGGTTATGTAAGAGAATGTTCTTATTCTTATGAAATACACACTCAAGATTATAGGGATAAGAGCCATGGTATAATCAAGTTACTCTAAAATGATTCATAGAAAGAAGAATGTGTGTGTGAACATATATATACACATATATATACAAATATATACATATGTACAGAGAGACAAAATGATAAAGCAAATGGGGCAAAACATTAACAACAGGGTTTATGAGTATTCTTTGTACTATTCTTGTGTGTGTGTGTGTGAAATTATTTCCAAATAAAAAGTGGTTTTGTCTTTAACGGTCTTGGTGCTGGGTGGATCTCTTAGCAATATTTAGTGTTGAGATCCCAGTGGCATATGGTCTTTCCTTAACACAGCATCAAAAGTAATCCTTATAAAACATGGCCAAGAGATAATGTCCTTCTCTGCTCAGAACCCTGCAATGGTTTCCCATCTCAGACTAAAAGCCAAGGGATTGCACAGGTCTCCAAGACCCTACCTTTCTGGCCCAGGTACCTCCAACCTAATCTCCTCCCACACTCCCCTCCCTCCTCTGCTGTACCACACAAGCCTTTTCTTTGAACATATCAGGCACACTTGTGCCTCAGAGCCTTTGCACTTGCTGTTCCTTCTGTCTAGAATACTCTTTGCCCACTCTTTTGCTTCCTTCAAATCCTTGCTCAAATGCCACCTTCTCAGCGAGGATTTTCCTGACCACCCTACATAAAATAGGAACCCCTGCTACACCCAGCCTTCCCTATCCCCTTTTCTCCACAGTACTTGTTTCCATCCAATACATTACACAGTACTTGCTTGTTCCTTGAGTGCAAGGACTTTGTATGTTTTATTCAATGCTACACTCCAGTACCTAAAACAGTGCCTAGCACATTTTAGACAATACTTGTTGAATGAACAAACAAAATTGTGTGTGCAAAAAAGCAACAAGATACTCCTACAAAGTGACAGAGAATTCAGGGGGAAGCCTAAGAGTTTATTTATTAAAAATGGAATTTTAATCATTTTAAAGTTATGATGGAAGATCACAATGGGGTCTCTTTATTGCTAACGTGATTGACTTAAGATGCCGATGTGTAGTTTACACCTGGAAAAGGATGAGGTGAAAAAATATGGACCCATGACTTCTAGAAATACACCAAGGAAAAATAGTTAGAGTCCATTAGACTCTGCAGATTCATAGTGTCTAACCTCAATTGTGCCTCAGCACTATACTCACTTCTTTTTATTCGTTCATAGTTCACTTCCTATCATATTCACTAGAGAAGCCAGGCCAAAGCTTGCCACCCTCTTCAAGATTCCAAACCCTCCCCTGCTCCCTCACTCTCAATAACAGACCTCTCCATTTAATTTACTGAGATCAAGGCCACTCTACTTCAACTCCCTCATTTCCATCCTCCATTTCAATTTATGTTGAATCAGCACATGTTCTTTCCACTCTAAGAAAAAGAAGGGTCTCCCCTTCCTTTGTAATTCTTCAGACAAAAGTGAGTTAGTATGATCTAAGGTCTGCGTTTGCTATATTTGCTTCCATTACCCATTTTACAGTCAAGCTAAAAACTCAATTTAAAAAGTGCTTTAAACAACTGCCATATACATGTAAATTATGCAAATGTTAGAAAAGATAAGCAGTAATACTCTAATTAACCTATTCAATTAACAGACAAATGTGCAATGTTAATTGTGTAGTTTTATAATAACCTTAGAAAAAGAAATAAAAAAATTCCAGAATGGAATTTCCAGAAACATTAAGTTCATTAGCTACTTTTATTTTTGGAATTCAATTGTTACGCCTAAATAGCAGAAGAAAGAAATCACCAGCAGAGACCTTAAACACATCTAACATACAAATTACAACTATATGTCTTTATTGTTCAGCATTAAACACACTATATCACCATATTTGCACATAATTTTTTAAGGTATTTTAATACCAGCCTGAGCCAGTTCCACATTGAAGGCTCTGAGTGCAAAAGCAGAGCTTCTGGATTCTGCAGGGAGCAGCAGGGAGCATAAATAGCCTTCATAATCTCGTTTCCTATAACAAACAGGCAAAAAAAGATAGTTACTTTTCACTTTCCAAACTGCACACAAAAAAATACTGACCAAAATTAACTGAAAACAAGACTTCAATTCAAAATAGGCCTACAACTTCTAATATTTTACACCTGTTTCTCTACAATTACAAAAAAAAAGTAACTGCCCCCAATCCCAGACCAGTTAAAGAGAAGAAATAATCAATCTCTATCAATTTATTTTGACTTATATAGTACTTATAATTTTAATTGTTTCAGAATCACTTTGGTTTTAATAAGAATTCAAATGAGCGACAGAGTAGAAATCAAGAAAACAGTTCTAGCAAGTATTGGTATGAACTCACGGTTTTTAATACACAAATACATAGATAAGACATAAAGACAGAAAACAATATAGGGGTGTGCGTGGGGTGGTGAGCTCATGGGTACGCACACGCACTCACACATACTTACGTTTCCTAGTGGCATCTGCTGAGAGCCTAGAAGCAATGATAACCCCATAAACCCCCAGTATCACTGAACACACCTAACGCCTAGATCTCAATTTCTAAATACCATCCTCCACCGAAAGAAAATAGGACTCCTCAGAGGAATGACCAAGTCCAGGGCTGCAGCAGGGGAAATACAAGATAAGCCTAAAACACTTTCTTGAGCAGAAAGTAAAGAAACATTCAAAGAATGGAGGGACTTGTCAAAATGACAAAGAAACTGGCTTGACAAAGTTCTCATTGGCCAAGTCTGGGATAATTTAAGCACCAAAAAAAATAGTGATAGTACCAGATTGTAACAGGACTCCATAAGTCCATACCAATATAAATTAATGAATAAATACAAAAAGAAGGAAAAACCTGACAACCAGTACAATGCCAACTGACAAATCTAGAAGACATGATGGAATCTTTTTTAAAAAATCATCATTTGATAACTATCAAAGTAATAATTGATTCAGGCAAAAATCATGTCTGAAAATGTTAAACAGGAAAAAGTTTGATAGAAACAGGATATACACAGTATTGAAGTATTTCCTCACAAAATATCTATTACTTACAAATTAACATTCTTATTAATTAAATTCAAGGGAGAAACCTGAAAGACACCTTTTCAACCAAGTAATAAAAAGTTCACACCACAGTAACAGAATAAATCAACACCATGTGTTACGATACTGATACGATACTGAGAAAAGCACAGCATTACTTCTGTAATATTCCTGCCCAAAACATATAAATCCTAAGGAAACATTAAATAAACCCAAATTGAGAGAGATTCTACAAACTGGCTTGTTCTCTTCAAAAAATGTCAAGCTCATGAAAGATAAGAAAAGACTAAGAAACTGTTCTAGACTGGAGAGGACTAAAGAGTTACAACAACTAAATGTAGCACATCATCCCAGATGTATGAAAGACATACTGGAATAATCAGCAAAATCTGAATGGAGTTTGTGGATGAGATGGTAATACTGAATCGATTTTAATATCCTGATTTTGTTGGTGGTACTATGGTTACATGGAAGAGAACCCTTGTGTATTAAGGAATATACACCAAAACATTAAGAGGGGTAATAGGGCATCATGTCTACATGTCATTCTCAAATGGTTCAGAATGTTAACAATGAGGGAATTTGCATGAAGAGTATATTGGAGATCTGTGTGCTATTCTGTAATTTTCACGTAAATTTGAAATTACTTCAAAATAAGAAGTTAAAAACATATAGTCCTTACTATATACATTCTAGGATGACAAGTATAAAGTACTTAGACTGCCTAATGACAAGGCTACTTTCATTGTACTACATTGGAACCTTATTGTAACATTATTTCCTATAAAACAGTATTCAATATAAAATGAGTCCAATCTCATTCCATGGAGTTTAGGTACTGAAATTCAGACTACCCCACTTTTCAATTGGTTCACATTTTGTTGCGTGCCTAACAGAGACCTTAAACCCCTTCTAGCCACTCCCTTCACAACTTCTCCCAGCCTCCACACAAACAACAGAAAGAGATCATGAAGAGTAACGCTGCTATCACAAGACAGCTCTACGAAAAAATCTCACCATTAGCGGTTTCAGATACAAAAGGGACAGTATGGGCAAAACAGCTCAACAGTTTATACTTTTAAATATATACAAATATAAATACTTTAAATTTTATTTTACTATAAACAGTCTCTGAACTTCAAAAGTGTTTAAAACACTTGAAAGTTAATATGAAACAGTGAGAAAGCACTGAATAGAAATCAAAACTACAATCTTACTTCCGTCATTCAACTAGTTATTGACAGAAATGGTACCAGCCATGTCTATTCTCTAATTTGCAAAATGAAGCTTGACAACCCGCCTGTTTCATATCTCCTAAAAATAACTGAGATGTGAGGTAGTTCAAGTTTCTTATAGGGAAATGAAAATGAAATGAAGCTATAATAGAACTGTAACAACTCTTGAGAAATAAGATATTCTATACAGCTAAGGGTTTGCCCTATGAACAATTTTTTTAAAATTTTGGTTAGAAATTTTTCTAAACAATATTACCCACTTATTTAAGTGGCTAACCAAGGCCCAGTTACTTGAGAACTGTTCTAAATAGTGAGAAATGCCATACTATGATGGCTTTATACAGCAACAGGGCCAATAACCTTCATTCATTCATTCATTCATTCAAACATTTATTCAGTGCCTACTATGTGCCAGGCACTGTGCTAGACACTGAAGATAGGTGTAGACTTCAGTGTGGTAGGGAGAGACAGACATATGAGAAATAAGCATATCTGGTGTTACGACTGCTATGCTAGTTCCATGGACCTGTACCACTGAGGCACAAAGAAAGAAGTGGTTCCCCAGTGAGGCTGGAGGAGGATGGAAAACAAGTACACTTGCAGACATGACCAATAGCACTCCCTCACCTCCTTATTACAGCACTAATCCCAAAGCCTGGGGCAGCGTTCCTCAAAACCAAACCCCAAGAAGCCTATGTGAGAGATTAGGTGTGAGATTTTCCCAGGAACCTAGATGCCTAGGAGAGACCCGGCTGGCTACCCTGAAGTGATGGCCTGGTATCTTTTCTGGTATTTGGAGGCCTTGCATAACATACATGTCCAAAACAATTCTGCACAAATAATTTCAGAGGCCAAATCTTACAAAGATCAATGGACAATTAGAAACTAAAAGTTCTAATCTTCCTTTCGAGTTTCATTTTGTCTTTATTTTAAAACTATTTATTGAGCATTTGTTATGTGCCAGCATTTTTATATACATCATCACATTTACTCCTGATAACCAGGCTGTAAAGCAGGAGCAGAAATTCACAAACGAGGGCCGGCCCCATGGCTTAGCGGTTAAGCGCGTGCGCTCCGCTGCTGGGGGCCCGGGTTCGGATCCCGGGCGCGCACCGATGCACCGCTTCTCCAGCCACGCTGAGGCCGCGTCCCACGTGCAGCGACTGGAGGGATGTGCAACTATGACATACAACAATCTGCTGGGGCTTTGGGGGGAAAAAAATAAATAAATAAAATCTTTAAAAAAAAAAAAGAAATTCACAAACGAGGAAATAGCTGAATCTTAAAGAGAGTAACTGTTCCAAGTGACAGAGCTAGGAGTAAGAAACTCAGATCAGGTCTGCCTGCAAAATCCAGGCTTTTTAATAAATCTCTAGAGTCAACAGCCTCCATTCCACTCAAATACCAACATGGACAGATTACCATGTGTAAATATATATTTGATAAAAGCTGTCATATGATATCCATAGACTATTAGTGGAGGAATACATAAGAAATTAATAAGAGTGATTATTCACCTCTGGAGAAGAGTCAGGATACTACTGGTGTCAAAGAAAAATTACACTGGACAAGGGTATGAGCGGTATACATTGTGTGTGTGTGTGTGTGTGTGTGTGGGAGGAAGATCAGCCCTGACTTTATATGGGACGCAGCCACAGCATGGCCTGACAAGCGGTGCATGTGTGCGCGCCCAGGATCCGAACCCTGGCCGCCAGCAGCGGAGCGCATGCACTTAACGGCTAGGCCACGGGGCTGGCCCGAGTGATATACATTTTGATAACTCATTTTTGGGGGTTTTTTGGTGAGGAAGATTAGCCCTGAGCTAACATCTGTGCCCATCTTCTCTACTTTATATGTGGGACACCTGCCACAGCATGGCTTGCTAAGCGCGTGCATAGGTCCCTGCCCCTTCCGAACCTGCGAACCCCGCTTCCCAGAAGCAGCGCGCGTGAAATGAACCACTACACCACCAGCCAGCCCAGTAACTTGAATTTTTTATCATCAAAAAATAACTTTAAGAGCTGGCCCAGTGGCACAAGCGGTTAAGTGCACGCGCTCTGCTGCTGGCCCGGGGTTCGCAGGTTCGGATCCCTGGCACGCACCAACGCACTGCTTGTCAAGCCATGCTGTGGCAGGGTCCCATATAAAGTAGAGGAAGATGGGCACGGATGTTAGCTCAGGGCCACTCTTCCTCAAGAAAAAAGGGGAGAATTGGCATCCGACGTTAGCTCAGGGCTAGTCCTCCTCACAAAATAAATAAGTAACTTTAAAATATATAAAAGTAAATATAACCTTTTAGCAGTTTGGGCTTTTACAATTTTTAATGCCCTGATTTCCACTACTGCTATCTTGTTGCCCCTATAAATAATCAACAATAAGGGAGGAGAGGAACACCATAAGAAAGTGTTTAAATACAAAATAAAACGCTGAAATGCATGGGAATTTTATTGTGTTATGCTACATTTTGCTAAAATGGGATTCACTGGATTTACTAGCCCAATCAAATCCAAGGTAGGATTCTAGCACTTCTCCGAAGTCCTGGAGCCGGGTACTTGAAGCCTTTTTACCACTGTTACGAATCAAGGGCAGCAAAAGGGCAGCGGGTGCTAAGCCATCTGTTGCCGCAGTCAGGCCTGGATTCCATGGCAGCCCCTGCCCACATGTTCCCGGCGACCCGATTCATCCAACTTGACTCCACAAATGATTAACAGCGACTCCCATATGCCAGGCCTTTCGGTGTTACCAGGGCGAACAAAACGGGTCATCAAGCCCCCGACTTTATGAGGCTATTCTGCTGAACCTCAGGTAGATTCCCTCATCTCTCTAAACCTCCGTGTCCTCGTCTATTGAATGAGATAATACGGTTTATACTGTACTCACTGTGCCCTTGCTTTGTGCCAGGCATTGTTCTAAATGCTTTAATCCTCATAACTCTAAATTGTAGGTCTACCTTTGACCGTCACAATTTGTAATGAAGATTAAGTAAATGACTTGTAAACTACTTTGCCTAGTGGCTGACAATTAAGGTCTCAGAGTTAGCTACTGTTGTAATTAAAATTAATTACTAATCGTCAAGTTTTAAAAGGCTAGGCATGCAAAACGTTTAATTAGGTAAACATTAAGGTTCAGGCAAAGTGACAAACAAGGAATTTTACCACACTCTTGCGACGCGTGTGAAAGTTCCGGCTGCCTCAGTCCCCCACACACCCGCATCCGGAGCCAACCCAAGCGCACACGCAGCGGGCCGCCAGGAAGGCGCTGCTCCGCCCGCCGGCGGCGCCCCGACCTCCCGCCGGGGGCAGGCCGGGCTCGCTCACCGCAGCAGCTCCATGCAGTAGCCGTCAGTGCCTGAGGCGCCCAGTCCGCTGGCCGCCGCCACGCT